ATCCAACACTCTCAATCCTCAACAATTATTATAATGATTCCTATTTAAGGAAATAATCTGCCTCAGTGCTGCCTGGCATTTTGCGGTGCAACAAAACTCTCACCCTGTGCTGTAAAAAGCAATGAAGCAAAAGAACACCGCAATAACCCAAATTTTCACAGTTTGTTTTTTGGAAAGTCACATGGCTGCCTACCACATTTCATAAACACGTATCACACGTCTACTTTTAACCTCTTCTCATGTCGTCCGGCCGCAGACGAACCAAACGGAATCCTCACACGGGCGTGCCACGTGCTTGAAGGCTGACATGCAACATGGCACCAAACATGGGCTTTTATTGTTTATTGGAAGCGCGGCACGCAGAGACGAGCCTCCTCATGAGTCACCACATGTGGCCTCCTGGCAGCAGATGGCGACGCTGTCACTCTGGCATCTTCTCTTCCTGCTTCCATCGTTTCAATCTATATTTTTTCTTTTTAACCACATGATTTATTGTTATATGGTTGTTACTGCTCCTCTCTTTTTGCGGTTGAGTGCTTTCATTTCACTGGAGACTCGAAATTGTATTTGAATTTTGAAAAAAAACATGTACATCAAGTTTGCCGAGGACTCGATTAACTTTGCTGTTTGCGACGACACGTTTAGATGTAACCCCTTAGCTTAATTGCCGTGGTTGTTTTTGAAAAAAACACATTTACTTGGTTTGTTTTAGACCGTTGTCTTTGTTCCAAATATGGACCGGTTAATTTACTTGAAGATAAAATCGTTTTTCAGAAGAATAAAAAAAAAACAAGGTTCATTTTTGATGAAATGATTACGATATTTTAGAATCTGATGTGCCTTATGTATGGATGCTGCATTTTCTGTTCGTCGTCTTCCTATTTTCCAGTCACATTCTTGCTCTCATTCTGACCGACATCTAACCGCTAGCGCACGTCCATGTTTTCGTCATTTCGTCGTTTCTCATGTTGCAATGCGGGACAATATCATTGCTGTCGGTGGGACTGAGAAGTAAATGACACAGCTAGCTTCTAATAGCTGCTGGGACTGAGCAAAAAAAAAAAAAAAAAAGGAGCAGACTTGGATAATGGGGAGTAGGTGAGGAAAACTGACTTGTTCACAGCAGTTGAACTGTCAATCAAGTAATAACACAACTACTGTTTAAAAAAAACCAAAAAAACAAAACGTACGGTACTAAAGATAACTGTACGTGGTGTTGTTTAGGACAAAATTGTCGATGTAGTTTATGAATATGCATTCCTTTATGTGAGTTGAAGATGAAATTGTCATTGATGTTTGTAAAAAAACATAATCGACTAACCCCATAGTAACCTCTTTGGCCCATCTGCAGTTGCGTACTGATGGCGGCTGTTGTCACTTTCTGGCCTCCTCCTCCTCCTCTTTCTCCTCCCCCTCATTCTCACAGCTTTTTTTTTCTTCTTTTTACGACTTTTGCTTTTATTTACTCTCGACTGAAACGCCGCCACCGTGGCTTTCCTTGGCCTGTAATTGATGCGACATGCTGGCCGTCGTCAAAGCCACTCTGCCTCTCTGCTTTTCATTAGGGCCCCAACGGGCTACTTTAATTCCTTCAAGTTCTGGAAGGCCTCCACGATTTTATCGGCCTGCTCTTCTCTGATCCTGGCACGTCATAGCAAATCTCGTGCTGTTTCCAATTAGCCGTTTATGAAAACTTCAGCTGGCATGACCGATGCGGCACAAATGTGCTCGCTCGTGACATTTGGATCATCTGATAGGACACAGGTGGTCATCCGAGGCCGCCGACTCACAATTGTATATTTTTACTATCCTTTTTGGCCTTTTGGTCCACACGCAAAGATTCGGTTTTGGAGTCGCCCCGAGCGAAATTTATGGAAAACTGCGGCTGGGATCAAGAAGAAACTGACTCTGTTGACAGGAAAATCTGATTTTGGACGTTGGCTTTCCTCCTTTTGCATGATGTCACGACTGCTAAGTGAAAATAAATAAGACAAGTAATTGTACTTACCTCAATTTAGAGACTCTGTGGCTAACCAAAACAGCAGCACTCATCATTTTGACTTTCAGGTGAATGAGTGTGTTCTCCTGTTGAAGAATGTACAGTGGTCCCTCTACTTACGAACGTCTCTTCATACGAAATGTTCAAGTTACAAAATGCCTCAACAGGAAAATATTGCCTCTCGTTACGAAAGAAATTTCAAGTTACGAAAGTTAAAAATACAGTATAGGCTGCTACTCACAGCTCCAAGTTTCCTGAACGCAACATAATTGTTGCTGCTCTGCCATTGGCTATTAGCTAGCATCTTCCTGGCCTCCCATTGGCTAAGAGGGACCTCTACCGGATGTGTCTATGTGTGTAGATTGACAGATGTGTGTCTATGCGGCGTCCTCGTCATTCGCCCCTCGGGCCATGAGGCGTTCCGATAGTTTTACGTAAATGTGAATCACCCAGAAAAAAGTGTTCACCAGTCGGGCGATCGCTCACTATGCTGATGTTTGCCTTGGACATTATCGAAGCATTGTTAAAACCCGACAAAAGCAAACGTCCTTGGATCAGTTCTTTACAAAACGCCAGGCAAAAACTACCTCTGAGAGAAAACGTGAACATAAATGTTAAGCGATCATTTTGTCTGGGGTTTTACAGGCTGCTGGGTAGTATAAATTTACATTTTGCGTGCATTCAGTCTAGTACAAAATTGCACCGTAACAATGATGGTTAATTTTGAAGAAGAAGAAAAAGAAGAGGGGGCCGAGAAGGTCCCAAACTAGGCTCCAGTTATCGTCGTTCTCACCGAGCAGAGAAAATATTTGCCTGTGAGTATTGTCATCATTGCCACGGGATTCAGAAACTGAAAGTAGAGAGTGTCAGCACGACTTGAGGTGCATCGGTATTTAAAAAAAAACAAACAATCAAGACAATAACCAACATAAAGCAGAAATCTGTCTCGGTTGGAGGTTTTTACTCGTGGCGTGATGATGAAATCACATTGAAAAATTGTCATTCACTTTCTTTTAAAACATGTTTGAAAACTAAAGCACTGAAGAAAAAAATGGAAAAAAACAACAAGCAACATTCCTAAGTGGGAATGGCCTCCTCAAGGGCATTGAACACGAATCTCCTTCCCACCTCATCACGTTTGTTTTTATTTTAATGTTTAAAAAAAAAACGAACTGCTGCCTTTGTGATTAAAACTGGCCCGGAAAGTAGTTAATCGTTAATTACGTGCGAACTATTTTGTGTTTGTAAGACCATTTGAGTGAGATCCATCCCTAGGGTGGAAACCGTGTCTGAGTTTGGATGTTGAACCTTCGCCCGTTGCCAACTTTTCATTCAAAGCAGATGTTTGGCTCGTAACATTGCAAAAGTAGGGAATAAACAAAACATGCGCACGTCATCCAAAACATGTTTCATGTGTGCAGCTTTGTTGTATTCGATTGGAGACAATTTAGTCAATATGGCAAGATATTTTTTTTGTCTATCACTTAGAGGTGACTAAAATTCTTAAACAAAAAAAACAAAAAAAAAAAGCACTCACCATTCATGCGGGTCAGCAGCGTGACAGCCGTCCAAAGATTCGAGAGCGTTAATAAAGCCATACAACTAATGGACATGTTGGAATGAAACCATGGAAGATTTTTTTTTTTTCCTCTCACGTTAGAGCTGCTTGATAAAATTACCAAAAATAAAAGCATTGAGCATCATAGGAAGCCTCCCACCCCCTCCCCCAAGTCTAAACACTGTTAATGTCGTGTTGGCGGAATGAGAATTAACCAGATTAATCCATCCGATTTCATCCACCGAAGGGTGCCGAAATGTTGACAATTCTGCTACCATGTGCTGTCGACAGAAATTGATATGAAAGAGCCCTCTATTGCAAACACGTGACCAAAGCCAGAAAACAGGCGAGCTGGAGTTCGTACAAAGTGTGTGTCGCATATGTGAGAAAGGATGACACAGTTCCTGAAGTGAATAGGGAACGCCATAAAAGTTCAATTGACAGCCGTTTGCTGAGTCAGTATTGCTAATGTCATAATTCTTAGTTGTACATCCGTAAATCGTAATTTTGCCATCCAAATCCCTTTCTCAATACTGCTTTTGTTTCTTTTCACAAAAAGCCAAAAAAAAAAAAAAAAAAAAAAGGAAAATGAACTTTATCTCTGAAAGAAGAAAGTCTACACTTGCTTTTGTGAAGTTCGGTCACAGAACACAATTGTCTCTGGGCTCGTTAACCCTAACGAGGAGCGCCATCATGTCAATTGCCGTCAACTAAGTTTTTTTGAAGGGAATGGGTGGAGAAAAGTCTTCATCAACTCTAGTTTGCTTGTAAAACTGGGAAAATACCAAAAAAACTGTGGCCAGCAGGGGGCATCATTGTGCCCACTTTTGGATGAGATCACCGCGTATCAAAACAATATGGACGCTTGTGAACATGGCTGATCTCTGGAAATTTGACCGTTACAGGCAGATTGCGATTGATCAAAATGTTTGTTACCTTAAATCTACTACAAAGAGTGTTGCAAAAGCGAGAACAGATGACAGAGATTATTTAAATTTAGAAACGTAAAGTGGTGACTGAAACACCCATGCATGGCAAAATGCACGCACATGCACGTGCACACACTGCTAAATACTACTACTACTAAGTCACATGCCAATAGTTTACGTTTCTCAAATTTAAAATTGTTACCGTGGTGATAGTTGAAAATGCATCATCTTGCCATCAGAAGCACAATTTCATCGTTGCAGTTGGTATTTGATCGAAGAAAAGAACTGTTCAGATGGGGCATCACGAAAGAAAAGCACTTGAAACTAGAATCTAATCTTTCATTTGGTTTTTTTTCTTATGGTTTTACATAATCTTTTTTTTTTTAAATGGCTGGCATTGATACTTCAATCAATCACAATTTAGCAAGAGTAATACTGTCAGTGTCATTTGCGTTTCTTTAAGTGTACTGGCAAAATGCCTTTGAGCATTTGCTTTGTGTCGCCCCCCCTGCAGGTAACACATGTCACAACGGCCTGGTGCACCCCGTGACCCGGTCCGCCTTGCCGTCTGTTCACAGTGCACTGGGCATCAAGCACTTTCTTCCCTTCCCATTGGACAACAACGTCTCGCCCGCTGTGAATATCTTCCCGGGATTCAATACTGTGAGTATCAACCTTGCTATTTTTGTGTTATCTTTTGTTGTTTTTTTTTTGCTGTTGTCTGTGGTTCAGCGTCATACCAAAAGCAAGCGGCTAGTTCTGGGATGTCAGTGGAAAAAAAAAATGTCTGTTGTCGTTGACTATTTTCCAGTTGGTCTTGGTTTTGGGAGGTTTTTTTATCATTTGTTGCATTCACACACACACACACACACACACACACACACACACACACACACACGAAAAAGGTTCATCGAAGAATTTCAATTGTCTGAACTGGTGCTCATAAGAGGGAGCACATCACTCCAACTTTGTCATCCCTTCACTTTTGCATTTTTGAGTTCTTTTGAATTTTTTTCTTATTTGTTTTCAAATCTACCTTCCCTCTCTTTTATTCTTTGACTTCTGACTCACCAGGTGACATGATTTTAGTTTGAGTGTTTTTGTGCTTTCTTGTGTCTTTGTTATTAATTTATTATTTGATCGTTTGGTGTTGTATGACTTATTTTTGCTCCTTGCACAGCACGTTTGTACATAGCGGTGGTTATAAATACAGTTGAGTTGAGGTTCCATGAGACAAAAATTGAGGAACACCTAATGAACCTAATCGCTGCGACCTTAGGTGTGTTGAATAATCTCACCAGATGTTTTTGTGATCATGTACACTGGGCTCATTGATGACTAAATTACATTTGATACTTTGAAAATGCAAAAGTAAAGTTGCTTGAAGACTTAAAATGCAACTTACTTCGCCATCCATTCATTCCGAAATCATTGGAGGCCTCTGAGGAAATTTTTTAAAATCTGATTGGTTATGGAAACAGTTCCATTGCTTATTTAGTTGAAGTCACATCAGTCGTGGGCAGATTAGATTGACATGGCAACCTATAAAGGCTGAAATCTGATTGGACTAGAAAATCTAACATCGGCATCCACGCATAGAAGCGCTGCAGTCAAGCGAAATGCTTTCATGGAACAAAATATTTGAATTTAAGTTGTAAATGTAGGTCAGTGCTCACCGCTGCATTAAAAGAAAAAAAAAATCGCCTGTCCATTTCCAGGCACACATTGTTGCTATTTTCTTTGTCTTTTATGGGAAAGTGATTTTTGGTGTTCACATCCTTGATGTGGGCTCGCACACAAACGATCAGAGAGACAATGTGGAAGTCTTCAACCTCGTCGCGAAGCTCTCATCCGCCTTCCCCCTGTGGGCTTATTGCCATTTCCTTCCACCGCGTCCTCTTTTTGCCAGCTGCACTCCAGCCATCAAACCCCTTTGTCCTAATTCAAAAGAAACGGACTGCCGGGTTTTGATGCGGCTTTTATCCCTTTCCGCTTTTCTCGTTTCGCGGCAGTAATCGCGACGTTTTGATGACGCCGCCCATTCCGACCTCGCTCGTATTTCCGCTTTCATGACTTTTTAAGGGAAAATCAATCGATCTGTAAGAGTTTGGACGTGAAGTAGTGCACAAGCTCGAATGCACAATCGTAAATATATATCCAGACATATGTATGACTTCTGGATTTTTGAACTCATAGCAAATTGACCTTCCACGTTATTGGAGTTATAAACAATGGAGATGATTTGAATAAACCTATGACATTCATGGAGTCAAAAAACATCGGAGTCAATTTTGTGATCAACCCGGTGAACGAAAAACGGTCGTCAAAGAAATGAACATACGCCATTTGGAAAAAGTCAAATCCAAATTAGAGCCTGAACATTAAAATCATTCTGGAGCCTTCAGTGAACCGAACAAAAACTTCACATGAACACCGAAGACGGATTCAACAGTCTGAACCTGCTTTTGTAAGCATCAAGGACAACTTAGTTTTCCATGAAATGACTGAACGTTAAAAAAAAAAAAAAAAAGTAGTGTCGTGTGCAAACTGTATTTTATCGACGAGTAAAATGGATCTGCATTTGTTCTGGCAACCATGCCTGCGTCAAACCTCGTCGATGTGGCGTGCATTTAAAATTCATGTTTGCAAAATGTGGGAAAGTGCCAGGACGCTTTGCATATTTCTCAGGTGAGGAGCTTTTTTTTTTTTTTTTTTTGAACCCAAGAGGAGGGAACACATGTGAGCTTTAACGAGAAGATGACTCGCGCTTGGCAGCCAGATCCTCAGAAATCATCCCCATCATAAATCGACAGAAAATGCGTAGAGCCACACCCACACACACACACACACACACACACACACACACACACACACACACAGACACACACACACACACACACACACACACACACACACACACACAAAAGCATCTCCAAAATCTGTAAATTAGCATTCCAAATTCATCGCTTGCCTTTGCTTTTATGATTTTTTCACCCCCTCTCCAAAGGAAATATTCACCCAACAAAGTTAACAACTCTGGACGGCATCTTGCCTGCACTGGCCCCGGTGTAGTGACGTCTCTGACATTCTTTTGTCCAAGTTCTTTTCATTTACGACATATGGCTTACAACTTGGTTATGAGTTATGTGTGGCAGACACTTTTGGCTCTTGCCGCTTCCACTCATCACATCGAGGCGCTCTCCAAGGGAGTGGTGGAAAGGAAAAAAAAAAAGAACAAAACGTCTGCCAAATTTTGCTGTCATGTGTGGTTACCATAGTGACTATTTTATAATACTTCCAAGCGAATGACAATGTTTTCCGCCACTCAAGCAGTTGTTTTTTGTTCAGTATGTTTCACCAAATTCACATTACCCTGTCAGACAAGCTATCAATCGCAGGGCTGACACAAATCTTGTGAAAGACGTGACAGGCCCCGATTGTTGAAAAATCGACACTATAGCGACCATGTCAAGAAACTTTTTAAACATAGAAGCACCCTCATCAAAATAATTTCAATACAATTAAATGCATAAAAGACACTTCAAGTTACAAATCAATCTGCTAGCTTCATGCTAACAGAGACGATCCTGTTTGTTCCAACAGAGATTATCATCAATGTAGCAGTAATTACAAACACCCAAGCAACTGCTCGTGTTTCAATGTTTAGTGATCACCACAATGCCATTTGATTGTGGCAAAATTACTTTTGTCCACTCTCCATGAAGCGTCGCAATTCACTTCAACATACTGTACTTCCTTGGCACCAAGATATCACAAAGCAATACTTGTGAATACAAAAAAAAAACAGTGACTAGGGAAAATGTTGTCAACAAATAATGGCACACAGATCCCCCCCCCCCCAAAAAAAATGCTTCATATTTACTAAAGGAAGAATTTGTAGTTTTAAGACAACAAGCAAGATATGAGCCGAGGATTTTTTTTTCGAGCATTAGATATTCCACCATACACACTTTCAGCAAAGCTCCCGAAGCCAGAGCAAACGGGTCAGTTACGAGGCCGCAAGATTGCGCCACTTCCCGGCGACGAAGTTATCCTCCAACTGAAATGATTGACACGTCATTGGTCACACCTTCTGTCTCTGATTGGTTGTTCTTTCTCGGACTCGGTGGTTTCTCAGAACTCAAATAAGAGGTACAGGATGAAAGTGGAAAGTGATCATTCAAAAATGTATGACTCTCAGGTTTATAACGACGGGTTTAACAATGTGACAAATCGTTAATTTTTTTTTTTTTTTTTTTGAGAGCTGCAAACTCTTTCAAGAACAGAACATGTATCAGTACTCCTCCTACGTGGGTCCATCGACTCAAGTACCCGCACTATCACATCCTTACTGAGCGTGAACACTTTTGCCGGACCTGTGGTGAGATATCTGTCAGTCGGGTCGGGCTGGTCACGTTTGTGCAGTTGTTGGGCAGCCCAAAAAAAAAAAAGAACAAAAAAAAGGGCAGTGAAGATTGCAATAAGATGGCAGCTCGCAATGGATGAACACATAGAGGAGAGAACAGCTTGCGTGAAATTGAACCTTTTTGGAGTGGAATGAAAGAGAAACTTGAAGTGAGGGCAGCGGCTTAACACATAAAAGTGTGTGTGTGTGTCCGGATGTGTGTATGAGTGCACAAGTCTCCGGAGGCCTGAAAATAAGATCTGTCTGGCCCGCGGCCGACATTTGTCTTAGAGAAACAATACAAAGTCCATTTCCCCCTGCAGAGTAATCAGGAGTGTGATTTATTGATTGTGCACGCTGGGAAATTGCTTTGTAGTGGCACGTACATGCACGCACACACACAGACACACTCACACGAGCGCGTGCACACACTGGAGGCTTCCATCATCGTCCATTTGGGGCGTGGACACACACTCACTTAGTCAATGTTAGCGTTCCTGCTCAAAGGAGGTGACGGACGTGTTTATTCAAGTAACTTAGTGTCTCATAAAAGCGATGGGATAATTATCGAGTGTTAGGATTTTGATCGATCTTTTTCAGACTGTTTGGCCTAAAATGCCTTGTTTAGGAGCGGCATTTGACCAAAAAAAAAAAAAAATGGGATTGAGCTTTTGTTGCGATGAAAATGCAGGAAACAAAATATTTCGTTTTTTATTATTATTATATTATAAACCCCTACTTACTTAATTAACGCACTTAATTATTGACCTTATCCATGTTTGTATTTATATTGCACTTAATTGAACTGTGTTTTCTTTTCTCTTCTTTCTACCCACAATCTTGCTGCTGAAGGCTGTAAATTTCCCCAGTGTGGGACAAATAAAGGATATCTAATCTAATCTAATCTAATCTAATTTTTAAACACGATACTCTGTGTTTCGTTTTTAGAATACTACCCCAGATCCTCTATTTGACTGATGACTCAGCTGTCTAGTCCTGCATATACAAATTTTTGGAATCATGAAGTCATTCTTTAACACTGTATCGGGATTATAACAAGACTTTACAGAAGGATTTTTCTTTTGAAGTAAACTACGTAGTCCACTCGATAAAAATCCCTATTGAGTGCTGAGCGAGTAATGATTGAGTAAATAATTCCAGACACAACAATTGAGTTAAAGCTCAGCTGGGAGGGAGATTAACGACGGTATTTAGTCCAAGTGAACACCGTACTCCAGGACTCTAAATTAGGGTTCCT